GTGCCTGTGTGTGTGTGTGTACATAGAAGAGTAGCATCAACACCAGTTTAGTTATGATCAGCCACACCAGTTGGCAGTGGCTCAGTCTCCGCCAGTGGCTTTGGTCATTGGCTTTTAGTGGCTGTCAGTGGCTTTTAGGACCTGTCAGTGGCTTTTAGGACCTGTCAGTGGCTTTCAGGATCTGTCAATGGCTTTCAGGATCTGTCAGTGGCTTTCAAGACCTGTCAGTGGCTTTTAGGACCTGTCAGTGGTTTTCAGGATCTGTCAATGGCTTTCAGGATCTGTCAGTGGCTTTCAAGACCTGTCAGTGGCTTTTAGGACCTGTCAGTGGTTTTCAGGACCTGTCAGTGGCTTTTAGGACCTGTCAGTGGCTTTCAGGATCTGTCAATGGCTTTCAGGAATTGTCAGTGGCTTTCAAGACCTGTCAGTGGCTTTCAGGATCTGTCAATGGCTTTTAGGATCTGTCAATGGCTTTCAAGACCTGTCAGTGGTTTTCAAGACCTGTTAGAAAGCTCCATCAGGTAACTAGCCCTCATAAACCCAACACTCAGTCGCCAAACATTAATCACTTCAGGAGACCCTTATCATAAGTCAATACAACAAGTTTCAAGTCAATCGGTAAGTTATTTGTTAAGTTCATGGGTGGACAAACTTCCCGGACGTACGTACGGACGGACGGACGGGCGGATATGATGTGTTTTGTCTGCGTCATCGGTGGCAAGGGACTCTATGGTGGGATAAGGCATTACTACTACTACTACTACTACTACTACTACTACTACTACTACCACCACTACTACAGCCTCCCCCAATAGCCACACCTTCGCCACCATTTAATTACCTTAATATTAAATATCCTAATACATAAGTAGCTATCCTATCTGTGTTAAATTAGTTGAGCCGCAGATCTATGCGGCATTCAGTGACTGTAGCCTCATAGTCAATATCTGCAGCAGTTGTCGGAGTTGGGGCAGAAGCTCTCGTTCCCCTGAGGCAGAGCAGAGCCGACCAAAGGAGAGAGAAGGACAGTCGACATCTCATCCAGGCTGTAACATAACTTGTGGGCTGCTGCTTCTGTTCGGGGATCACCTCCGCGAGTCTGGCGTAGAAACATCTTGCACTTGGTCCCATCCCACCAGAGGTTGTGAACACTAGAGGAGTGAAGCTGCCTTGATCAACGTTCTCAATTCTCTCCCCATATGCCCTTCTCTTGTCGTTCTCGTTCCTCCTGTGTGCAGCATCGAGAGCTAAGTTACGGTGACATGCGTCCATGGGATAAAAAATCCTGATGTCGAAGAAAGCTCGCTGTCCCCGCGTCCAGAATCATCGAGCACTGACGTCCACACGGGCTTCGTTTAACAAGAGTAGGTCAAACACAGTACATCCTCTCTCTCTCTCTCACACACACACACACACACACACACACACACTCACACACACACACACACACACACACACACACACACACACACACACACACACACACACACACACACACACACACACACACAGGGTTTTATTCAGGCACGGGACAGCTAATACATCTCACTTACCCCACATCCCTCCACCCCCTTCCTTCCCCCTTGACCAAACACACACCTATTACTATATTGGGTCATATCTATTTAACCTATTGCTATATTGACCTGAAAATAAATAGGCTTCTGTGTGACCTCAAGAGTAACTATTATATTAAATTTGGATGATGTAATTGATATAGAACCGAAGTTATCATGCGGACACTAGCATGATAAGCGATAAACTAGCACCCGGAGAGCTATACAGTTACAATATCACTCTACCTACAATAAGGCGAAGGTTGACAAGTGCTCAGAGGTCAATAGAGTCCATAATATAGGCAAACAATACAATAGTGACTTTGACTTGACCTCTTAACTCCTGACTCTGTGACCCCTGACCTCTGACCCTGTGAACTTTGATCCCGTGACCCCATGACTCCCAAACTCAGTGGAAACCATCATTTCCTCAAGGTCAGGTCAGGATAGGTTAACAATATGATCACTAATGCCTGGGTAATACAATGGGTTATCAAGCCACAGAAATGTCAACAGTGAGGCGAGATGGACTGACAGACAAATGGAGACACAGACAGACAGAATAAGATATATCCTGTTAAGTAAACCTTCTTATCGACACACCAAAGCGTATGACCGGAAACCACACAGACACACAGACACACACACAGACACACACACACAGACACGGAAGTCGTAAGAAAAACCCATGAATCAGATATTAACTGGAAGAGGAGCGGTATTGTGTGTGTTGTAGGAGGCGTGTAGAGCATTAAGGAAGGGGTGTAGATGAACGGAGTGTGGATAGGGTTGGGAGCGAGAAGACAGTAGAGGAAGCGAGGCGGGCCTGGTGGGGTACCTCAAGCGGAGTATCCCAACAAGTTTTCAAGGTCAGTTTGTTTTTCTGGACTAACATTCACAAAGTTCGTACGATTTCTTTTTTATTCTCGTATTTGGAGTATTTAGAAGACTCACTTAAGCTACCACACAAAGATGGATTCTCAAAGGTTCCAACGTTAAGTTTTCCTCCTAACTGGTGATGTGAGAACGTATCTAACTGACTCACTTAAGCTACCACACAAAGATGGATTCTCAAAGGTTCCTACGTTAAGTTTTCCTCCTAACTGGTGATGTGAGAACGTATCTAACTGACTCACTTAAGCTACCACACAAAGATGGATTCTCAAAGGTTCCTACGTTAAGTTTTCCTCCTAACTGGTGATGTGAGAACGTATCTAACTGACTCACTTAAGCTACCACACAAAGATGGATTCTCAAAGGTTCCTACGTTAAGTTTTCCTCCTAACTGGTGATGTGAGAACGTATCTAACTGACTCACTTAAGCTACAACACAAAGATGGATTCTCAAAGGTTCCTACGTTAAGTTTTCCTCCTAACTGGTGATGTGAGAACGTATCTAACTGACTCACTTAAGCTACCACACAAAGATAGATTCTCAAAGGTTCCAACGTTAAGTTTTCCTCCTAACTGGTGATGTGAGAACGTATCTAACTGACTCACTTAAGCTACCACACAAAGATGGATTCTCAAAGGTTCCTACGTTAAGTTTTCCTCCTAACTGGTGATGTGAGAACGTATCTAACTGACTCACTTAAGCTACCACACAAAGATAGATTCTCAAAGGTTCCAACGTTAAGTTTTCCTCCTAACTGGTGATGTGAGAACGTATCTAACTGACTCACTCCAGTATAACAGATACCAAATTATAGAGGGAGGCTGAATTACTGAGGACACACACACACACACACACACACACACACACACAAACACACACACACACACACACACACAAACTCAATCGTGGATTTGCAACACCGTAAAAACAGCTGATCATTGTGACGTCACAGTGTAAACAAACCAGCCGCCATTATCTTACTCTGGATGACGTCAGCAGAGTCTGGTGTTAATATTTTATTAATTATTGTTAGTTTTACTTTATCGAGTTTGTTATGTTGTAGCGTTAATAAATTCGTCCGTTAAATTGTTTTGGTATCTGTTGAAACCTCCATATAACGGAGTGTATGAAGAGGAGTTTCCGTTATATTAAGAGTCCGTTATGAAGCCTCCATATAACGGTCATTAACGGTTATAGAATGATTGTCCGTTAGATGGAATTTCCCACTGTACTTGTATCTATTACCTGTCCTTCTACCTGTCCTTCTACCTGTCCTTCTACCTGTAATTAGTGACTCGTGAGGCAGGTATGGAGGTACAAGATTTAACCCATCAGTTGGTAGAGGCGACTGTGTCCTTGAGATACCCTGGGGGCGTGTATACCACAGGGGAGGGAGGGAGGAAGAGAGAGAAGGAGGGAGGGAGGGAGAGAAGGAGGGAAGTGGTAGTGGTGGTAGTGGTGGTAGTGGTGGTAGGAGGCACCAGCTGCAGGACATCATCGTTAAGACTGACTCATACTTCAATCATAATGTGTGGTGAGGTAACTGGCCTCTCTCTCTCTCTCTCTCTCTCTCTCTCTCTCTTTTCACACACACACACACACTAAGTAACTCTCTCACGCCCACTCTTCACCCACTCACAGTCGAGTACCTCCCACCGCCCACTCTTAAGCCCCACTCATTGATATTACTCCCACTCCCCACGCCCACCCACGCCCACTTACCACGCCCACCTGTGTGTCTTTTTTACTGTGTGTGGTGGTGGTGGTGGTGGTGGTGGTGGTGTGTGTGAGTGGTGTGTGTGTGGTGGTGTGGATGGTAGTGGTGGTGTGGTGGTGGTGGTGGTGGTGTGGTGTGTGTGTGGTGGTAGTGGTGGTGGTGGTGTGGTGTGTGTGGTGAGGTGGTGGTGGTGGTGTGGTGTGTGTGGTGGTAGTGGTGGTGGTGGATGGTGATGGTGGTGGTGTGGGTGTGTGGTGGTGGATGGTGGTGGTGGATGGTGGTGGTGGTGGTGGATGGTGGTGGTGGTGGTCCTTAACGATGACAACCCCTGATGACTTAACCCCTTGAGTATGATGACTTAACCCTTGAGTATGATGAGTGATGACAACCCCTGAGTACGATGACTTAACCCTGAGTATGATGCAACTGAGTATGATGACTTAACCCAACTGATGAGTATGATGACTTAACCCCTTGAGTATGATGACTTAACCCCTTGAGTATGATGACTTAACCCCTTGAGTATGATGACTTAACCCCTTGAGTATGATGACTTAACCCCTTGAGTATGATGACTTAACCCCTTGAACACAGCATAAAAAAAATACAAAATTTAGTTAAGTTTACCATCAATTACACATTTTCCCATACACAAGTAACCAACCCACACCCCGTTTTCTTTCCTCTAACAGGAGGTTGTAAGGATTAATGGTAGGCGGTGCCCCTGGTCATTTAGGGTACAAAGCCCTGCCCACAACTTCAACTAAACCACAACCCCAGCAGGCAACCCTCAACAACCACAAGCAACCAACCCGCAACAACCACAAGCAACCAACCCGCAACAACTTCACCATGGCTATTGAGGCGATTAATACAGCGATGATTGATACAAGTGAGTGTGTCATGTGTAGTTGAGATGTTAATTGTCTACAGGTGAGAGTAAACAGTGTAATTCAGGTAGTTATTGTCTACAGGTGAGAGTAAACATTAAGGTAATCACAAGTGTCAGTAAACAACGTAATTAAGGTAGTTATTGTCTACAGGTGAGAGTAAACAATAAGGTAATCACAGGTGTCAGTAAACAACGTAATTAAGGTAGTTATTGTCTACAGGTGAGAGTAAACACTAAGGTAATCACAGGTTAACATCAACAGGTGGCAAGACGTTGGGTGGTGACGCTGGGTTCTGTGCTTGGGACCCAGACGCCGCCAAGTTACTCAAGATGGTGGACTCAGAGAACCTGGAGGGTGTACAGGCGCTCCTCGAGGCTGGGGTCCACGTCAACGGTCACGGTGGGCCCTTCCACGAGACGGCCCTCCACCGCGCTGCGCAGGTCCGCTGGGCTACAGGAGTGCGCTTCTTGATTACCTCCGGCGCCTCTGTCTACGCCAAGAACCAGTATGGACAAACGCCTCTACATTACGCTGCCGCTTCCAAATCCACAGCGTGTATCAAGTTGCTGCTCGAATCTGGGCGGCCTGGAGTGTTAGATCACCGGGATACTCGAGGACACACGCCCCTGCATGATGCCTCGGCCTCAGGATGCGTCAACGCCATCACCACACTCCTGAAGGCTGGGGCTCTGGTACGGGCGAAGGATGGTAACGGGGAGACGCCGCTTCATAAGGCAGCTAAGGCTCACTCCGTCCCGGCAATGGTGGCGCTCCTGAACGCTGGGGCTGACATGGCTGCCTGTGACGTCAACGGGGAGTCAGTCATCTCATACACCCTCCATCACCTCCCTGGCACCATGGACGCCGTGTTCGATCACTGCCTCGTCACCAATTCTAACAACATCAACACCAAGACGCTAGAAGTGGCCATGAATTTCCTACCCCTAACGTGCTGTGACGATAAGAACCAGGTACAGAATCTTCAGTCCTTCGTCGGGTTGGGTCATGCCAAGCTCTTGAGTCATCCTCTGTGTGAGTCCTTCCTCCTCCTGAAGTGGATGAACGTAAGGAGACTCTTTTTGATCGAGGTGGTATTGTACTTGCTCTTTGCCTTGCTCACAACGACCCTCACTTTCAATAAATTCGTGTGGACGTCTAGTAAAGCCAACGCCACCCACAACGCCACCCACAACGCCACAGACGACCCGATGACCTTAGTTAACGAGAGTGCCGACGCCTGGGGTAAATGGGCCGTCGAACACGTCATTATCCAGGACAGCGATCTTTACCTCACCTCAATAACACAACAAATAATTGAAGGCATTGTTATAACCTACCTGGTGATAATCCTTTTACAGCAGTCACTAGCCCTTCTTCAGAACAAACTAGACTGGTTCAAGTCCCTCTCAGCAGTCTTACACGTCATCATAACCATCCTTGTAGCTGCTGTCATATTACCAGTGATGCCTTATGAGTGGCAGCATCACTTAGCATCGTGGTTAATGCTCGTCATGTGGACAGAATGTATGTTACTCATTGGTCGCTTCCCAAACTGTGGTATATACGTTGTCATGTTTACCCGCGTGGCCAAAGTCTTCCTCAGAATATTCCTCATCTATTTCTGTCTTCTCCTGGCGTTCTCAGCGGCATTCTACGTTGCTCTTCACTATTCCAAGGAGCAGAAAGAAGATTGTGACACTGAGGATTTAGTTTTTTCAAGCCCAGTCCTCACCTTCGTCAAGACCATAACGATGATGATTGGAGAACTGGATTTCGACGATGACTTTGTAAGAGGATTGGGTCATCTAGTCATCAGTGGTCACGTCATCTTCCTCCTCTTCGTCATCCTCGTCTCCATCATCCTCTCAAATCTTCTCGTCGCTCTGGCTGTTAATGATGTGCAGGTAAGTTGTGTACAGGTGTTGAACATGTTGCTCTCTCTCTCTCTCTCTCTCTCTCTCTCTCTTTGTCTTTTTCTCCAATTTCTATCTATCTATCAATTTATCTCTATCTCTCTATCTACCTAAAATATCCACCTGTACCTTAAATTATCCACCTGTACCTTAAAATATCCACCTGTACCTTAAAATATCCACCTGTACCTTAAAATATCCACCTGTACCTTAAAATATCCACCTGTACCTTCAAATATCCACCTGTACCTTAAAATATCCACCTGTACCTTAAAATATCCACCTGTACCTTAAAATATCCACCTGTACCCTAAAATATCCACCTGTACCATAAAATATCCACCTGTACCCTAAAATATCCACCTGTACCCTAAAATATCCACCTGTACCTTAAAATATCCACCCTGTACCTTAAATATCCTCAAATATCCACGTGTACCTTAAAATATCCACCTGTACCTTAAAAATACCTGTACCTTAAAATCCACCCCAAAATCCCCTGTACCTTAAAAATATCCACCTGTCCACCCAAATATCCACCTTAAAATATCCACCCTGTACCTTAAAATATCCACCTGTACCTTAAAATATCCACCTGTACCTTAAAATATCCACCTGTACCTTAAAATATCCACCTGTACCTTAAAATATCCACCTGTACCTTAAAATATCCACCTGTACCTTAAAATATCCACCCTGTACCTTAAAATATCCACCTGTACCCTAAAATATCCACCTGTACCTTAAAATATCCACCCTGTACCTTAAAATATCCACCCTGTACCTTAAAATATCCACCTGTACCTTAAAATATCCACCTGTACCTTAAAATATCCACCTGTTACCTTAAAATATCCACCTGTGCCCTAAAATTGGCTTATGTTTCAGGGACTACGGAACTCTGCTCACCTGGAGAGGCTAATTAAGCAGACAGAACTGGTGTTTCATATGGAAAAGAACTTCTCCACTGCAGCTTACCTGGCCAGTTATATCAGAATACACAAGTGAGTTAGTGAGAGAGAGAGAGAGAGAGAGAGAGAGAGAGAGAGAGAGAGATAACTACAACTCTACAACTTATTTATAACATCATTAATGGAAGTTTGTTTTAAGTTATAAAGTTTTTTGTTTTTTTTTTAAGTTGCAATAATGTTGTGTTTGTGTTGCAGGTTGACCAATGTTTTGATGAAGTTAGCCAATATTTGTAACTATGATTGTTGCAATACTCGGGTCTATATTCTTCCTAATAATCCCAAGAAGGTGAGATTGTGGTTAGTAGTAGTAGTAGTAGTAGTAGTAGTAGTAGTAGTAGTAGTAGTAGTAGTAGTAGTAGTAAAAAAAGTAATATCAATAATAATAATACAATAAAAACACCCACAATAATAATAATAATAACAATAATTAATCATTATTTATTCCCACAGTTAAACAAACTATTTGTGATTGCCAATAAGAAATACAAGGAGACTGACCTGCCTTCCCATCTGCTGGCGAACGTTCACCAGTGCCTCCGAACGCGAGAGACAGAAGCGAACGACAGCAAGAGCAGTACAAGAGTCAAACGAGGAAGTAGGATCCGCCGAGGGGAATACCACCGCAATAATGAGGAAGATTTCAAAGCTAATCTGAAGGAGGTTGAAGCTAACATGATCGAAATGGTCAGTGAAAAGATGGAAGACATGGCTGACTCACACACCAGATTAAACAAACGCTTGATGGAGTTAGAATCGAAGCTTGATAGAGTGACAAGCTTACTCCTTCAGCAGGTATCGAGTACAGCTATCATTACTACTCCTACTGCGACTACTACTGCGTCGTCTTCTCCCTTCACCACTACTACGCCTACGACGCCTTCAACTGATGCGAGTGTTGGAGGAGGTGATGGTGATGGTGGTGATGATACCTGAGAATATCCCTCTCCCTCTCCCTCCACCCCTCCTCTTCTCCCCCAAGGGTTTGATCACGTCTCCAAATGGGGTGCTGGACTGAGATCACGTCTCCAAATGGGGCGCTGGACTAAGATCAGGTCTTCCAAATGGGGCGCTGGAGATCACGTCTCCAAATGGGGCGCTGGACTGAGATCAGGTCTTCCAAATGCTGGACTGAGATCACGTCTCCAAATGGGGCGCTGAACTGAGATCAGGTCTTCCAAATGGGGCGCTGGACTGAGATCAGGTCTTCCAATGGGGCGCTGGACTGAGATCACGTCTCCAAATGGGGCGCTGGACTGAGATCAGGTCTTCCAATGGGGCGCTGGACTGAGATCACGTCTCCAAATGGGGCGCTGAACTGAGATCAGGTCTTCCAAATGGGGCGCTGGACTGAGATCAGGTCTTCCAATTAGGATTATCCAAGCTTTCAGTTCCTACCAATAATCATTGCACAAATTACAACTTTGATTACATAAATTACAACCATAAATTACAGCAAATTGTAATTTTTCATCCTGTATTTGGGGCTTCTGTAATGGTCATGTGCCAAGGAAATACAAAATACTGTAACATGTATTTGGTGAATAGTTTGTAATGTAATAAGGTCAATTTTTAAGCAATAATTATTTACATGTGATATAATTGTATACAGTACTGTGTGTGTGTGTGTGTGTGTGTGTGTGTGTGTGTGTGTGTGTGTGTGTGTTATTTTAGAACTTAACACAAATTATCAATATCAACTAATACTTCTAAGGTTGTGGCAAAATTATATAAATAACTTTGTAAATACTTTGTTAGTTATGAAATAGTTTGCAACAATACAGTATTATATTTTTTCTCAATAGTTTGTAAATAGTTTAGGTGAATAATTATAATTATATTTAAATGCTCATGTATTTTATAAACATTAGTAGAGAGAGTAATTAAGAGGGCAAAATGGTATCGGTACACCTGACATTACCTGTCCACCACTGTCCAACCCTCAAACTGTTCAGATAATTTTGTCCACCACTGTCCAACCCTCAAACTGTCCAGATAATTTTGTCCACCACTGTCCAACCCTCAAACTGTCCAGATAATTTTGTCCACCACTGTCCAACCCTCAAACTGTCCAGATAGTTTTGTCCACCACTGTCCAACCCTTAAAATGTTCAGGGAATTTTGTCCAATAACTATCCAACCCTCAAATTGTACAGAGAATATTGTCCACAATTGTCCACAAAATATCCTGCGATTTCTTAGCAATATTGTCCAATCATTATCTTCCAAATGACCTGATTTAATTAACTGTTAATATACTTACAACTAATGACTATATAGTAAAGTTAATGTCTATATAGTGAAGTTAATGACAGTATAGTGAAGTTAATGACAGTATAGTGAAGTTAATGACAGTATAGTGAAGTTAATGACAGTATAGTGAAGTTAATGACAGTATAGTGAAGTTAATGACTATATGGTGAAGTTAATGACAGTATAGTGAAGTTAATGACAGTATAGTGAAGTTAATGACAGTATAGTGAAGTTAATGACTATATAGTGAAGTTAATGACGTGAAATAAACTGGGGTGTTGTTTCTTCAGGTGAACAGAATATACTATCAAGATATATATATAATGTTAGTTTGTATATATGAATTTATATGATCTTGTGTATATTATGAAGTTACAATATAAATTTGCTTATGTAGTTGTTTCATTGTTTCCCTTTGTGTAGATGGATAGATGGATGTGTGGGTGGATAGATGGATGGATGGGTGGATAGATGGATGGATAGGTGGGTGGATGGATGGATAGTATAGTCACCCCTAAAAGCGTCATTACAGAAGCAAGTTTTCTTTGGATTGATTATGAACAGGTCAAGGTGTGTTGAGGATGACAGATGAACACCTGGACACACACACACACACACACAGACACACACACACAGACACACAGACAGACAGACAGACAGAGCCAATACCTCAATGAACCACAAGTCACCAATCATCATATGCAGATTAGATCAAATTAGGCTCTTACGTCACGATGATTCGCCAATCTGATCAACTCGAGGCTAAGTTGGAGTCCAATTACCAGTACTCCTCTCTGGTGAATTACTCCACGAGAGAAAGGGTGGTGGGGGGTTGTGTGTGTGAGTGGTGTTGTTATTATGGTGGTGGTGGTTGTTGTTGTTATTATTGTTGTGGTGGTGGTGGTTGTTGTTATTGTTGTGGTGGTGGTGGTTGTTGTTATTGTTGTTATTATTGTTATTGTTGTTGTTGTTGTTATATGTCCTTCTCTCAGTATCTGTTCATCAGTGTTCATTCGTGTTCTATAAACTTTAACAAGTGTTCATAAATGTTCTTGTTCAAAAAATGTTCATTACAGGATCATGAGTATTCGCTATAGGTACAGAACTGTTCATCAATATTCTCTAAAGTGTTCACAAGTGTTCAATAATGTTCTTTAAAAATCACCAATGTTCACAAGAGTTCAAAAGTGTTCAATAATGTTCTCTAAAGGTTCACAAGTGTTCACCAGTATTCAGTCGTGTTTTCTAAGAGTTCAGTAATGTTCAGTAGTTATTCATCAGTTGTTCAGTAATGTTCAGTAGTTGTTCATCAGTTGTTCATCAGTGTTCAATAGTGTACAGGTAGAGGCCGTCAGCAGCTGTACAGGTGAAAGTTAAAATGATTTACGTACAGGTAAACCACAGTGATCTGTACACACACACACACACACACACACACACACACACACACACACACACACACACATCACAAAAACTGCAAGCAATCACCATTACCTATTTTTGATTGGCCTGAAATGAGCCAATCAAGGGCCGGTATCTAGGGGTATATAAGGGGTTGACCCACCTCTGCCAGGCATCAGTCCCGACCTGTCCACAAGCCAAGCAGGATGTATCCCAGGGTGAGTTAATACAGTGATATCTCCTTAATATAACGGACTTATACTTATAAAAATCCGGTAACTAGAAGGTTTCTTAACGGACTTTCATCTCTATATTGTTTATTTTATTGTTTATTTGTTTATTTAATTGGTTTGTTTATTTCCAGGTTGTAGTGTTGTTTACGGTGCTGGGCCTGGCATTATCCTCCGATCATTTGCAATACCCGGATGTAAGTTTGTTTACTTTTGAACTTTTACTAAAATGGCCCTAAATTAGAACCTACCCTAAAATTACCCTAAAATATGAACTTCCCCTAAAATAAACTTATATTAAATTCAAAATAAAAATCCTAAAACCTAAAAATAAAATATTACCTAAAAAAAATAATTAAAATTCCACCTTAAAAAAATCACCCCCAAAAAAGTAAAAAAAAAATCCTACCTAAAAAACTAAAAATCTCCCTAAAAAAACACTTAAAAGCTCCACCCTTACGACCCCCAGGTGCCCCCAAAATACGACTACAACTACGCCATCATAGACGACCAGACACTGAACGACTACGGCCATCAAGAAACACGTGACGGAGGAATCACAACAGGTAAATACTACGTCGCCTTACCTGACGGTCGGCTACAGGTTGTGACGTACACATCTGATGAGGGTGGCTACTCACCTATCGTATCGTATGACGGAGAGATCCACGCCCACGACTACACCCCTCCTCACGCCCATGTTCCTCAAGCCCATGTTCCTCACGCCCATGTTCCTCACGCCCATGTTCCTCCTCCACCTCCAGCGTTCGTTCCCTATCATGGGTCACATCACGGCCAACCACTTCCATATTATCGCTGAGACACCTCCCATATCCCGCCCATATCCCGCCCATCCACATCAACAGTATCCTGACTTAATCTATCCACATTCATATCCACCTTACACTACCCTAATTTCACTATCCACACGCCCTACCACACCCTATTCCACACAACCTACCCACACCACCCACACCCATCCACACCCATCCACACCCTATATACTAACCCCACCCACCCACACTACCCACACCCATCCACACCCTATAATACTGAACCTCTACAACATAAAAAAAAATATATATCTTTACTATTAATTACACCAACTTCCCGTTTTCTATCAACTGACCCACTTCCCATTTTCTGTTGACAATATACGCAATTATACCTGGATATAGTGACCATTATAAGAATATTTATATACGATGATGAAGAAAACTGATATGAAACAATTGTAATAAAGTTATATCGAATTATATGGCAATTTATATAACCTTGATATATGGAGGGATTATGAAATATAGTATTACCTAAAAACCAGAAACCTTTCACCAAGTTTAGATCATTAAGCTTCATAAATCAAGCTTGAAACGTTTTATTGAAGATAATTTTTAAGCTGAGTAAAGTTTAGATTAGAAAATTTAGTTATGTGAAGAGTAAAATAAATCTAGAATGTGAGAAGGAATTACTGAGGTTGGATTTGGTTAGGAATTTTGACTGAAAGGATTTTAAAGATTCATAAAAAATTTGAACACCTGTTTTTGTTGATTTTGATAAAGTTTTTGATAAGGTACAATAATAAAGGAGCTATTAGAATTTTAATAGGTTTTTACTAGCAACAGGAGGCTGAAGTGTTAGTAAATAATGAATTAAACCACTTCGGCGTATGACAAGGCTCTGTTCTTTCTCCCTCGTTGTATATCAGAATTCTTAACGAGAGAAATTCTAAGTGATAACGAAGGACTAAAAGTTAATGGCGAAGTTATATCATACAGCTCTTATCACAGGTACTGGAGAGGCATTACAAAGACGAGTTAACAGATAAGGTGGAAGAGAGTGAGAGTTAATTCTGTAAAGACTTAAGTAATGGTCGTTTCTAAATAGGCAAGCAACATTAACATCGATGGAAGAATGCAAAACAAGCAACATTAACATCGATGGAAGAATGCAAAACAAGCAAAATTAACAGCATCATCTAAAAGACCTAATGAAAAGGGTTATTAACTTCACTATGACAAAGGGTGGCAGGTGAAAGGGTTAATATGGCCAGGACAGATGTATGGGTCAGAAGAGTCGACACTTTCAGCAGACGCCAGACAGAGATTGAAGGCTCTGTGAAATGTGGTGTTATAGATAAAATTATAAAAAAAAACCTCAAGAAAACAGACAGATACTTTGGTCATATAATTAAAGATGATGGGAATAATAACAAAAATATTAATGGGTAAAGCTGATTGGATGGATGGACTGTGGTCGCCAACCCTCAGATATGAAGTCGTTACTCTGATTGGTTGAAAATATCGCTATGTAACTTCTATGGCAGTAAATATCTATGACACCAAGTAGAACCAACGAACCTTAGGACGGGAGGTGAACATTGTATCCACTCATCCACAGCACACTTCATACTTAAGGGGTTAAATCATCATACACCAAGAGGTTAAATTATCATACTCAAGGGGTTAAATCATCATACTCAAGGGGTTAAATCATCATACTTAAGGGGTTAAATCATCATACTTAAGGGGTTGAATCATCATACTCAAGGAGTTAAATCATCATACTCAAGGGGTTAAATTATCATACTCAAAGGGTTAAGTCATCATACTCAAGGGGTTAAATCATCATACTCAAAGGGTTAAATCATCATACTCAAGGGGTTAAATTATCATACTCAAAGGGTTAAATTATCATACTCAAGGGGTTAAATCATCATACTCAAAGGGTTAAATCATCATACTCAAGGGGTTAAATCATCATACTCAAGGGGTTAAATCATCATACTCAAGGGGTTAAATCATCATACTCAAAGGGTTAAATGATCATACTCAAAGGGTTAAATCATCATACTCAAGGGGTTAAATCATCATACTCAAAGGGTTAAATCATCATACTCAAGGGGTTAAATCATCATACTCAAAGGGTTAAATCATCATACTCAAAGGGTTAAATCATCATACTCAAGGGGTTAAATCATCATACTCAAGGGGTTAAATCATCATACTCAAGGTTAAATCATCATACCAAGGGTTAAATCACCATACTCAAGGGGTTAAATCATCATACTCAAGGGGTTAAATCATCATACTCAAGGGTTAAATCATCATACTCAAGGGTTAAATCATCATACCAGGGGTTAAATCATCATACTCAAAGGGTTAAATCATCATACTCAAGGGGTTAAATCATCATACTCAAAGGGTTAAATCATCATACTCAAAGGGTTAAATCATCATACTCAAGGGGTTAAATCATCATACTCAAGGGGTTAAATCATCATACATAACGAAGTAAACCCAGTAACTTCATGGTAATATTTAGTAAGCACTCTTCACTACATTGTAAATATCTCAATTTATTCCCCTAATGATATGATTACACTGATTACTAAGACGATTATGATTGGTTACTGCTCGGAGTACTATAATCATTGGCTGGGAATGTAAACAACCTGTATCAATGAGGGAAAGTTTAAACCAATCAGCAGTGATTTTGTATTAGTGTAGGGAAAGTTTGAGCCAATGAGCAGTGGCTTTGTATCAGTGTGGGGAAAGTTTGATCCAATGAGCTTTGACTACTAGACAAAATTTATGACGTCAGAGGTTCAGGGAGGTATAAAAGAGGGGGTACCACACTGTCCATGCATCAGTGCTCTTCTTCACCTCAAAGCAGAAGCACGATGACTCTTATGGTAAGCTACAAAGAGAGACAAATGATCGGTTTAACTATGATACAACATTTACATCTGTTAACAAACCTTTTTTTAATTTCTGTTATATTATCTATTTCTTATATCTTGAGCAGGTGGCAGCAGTGGTGGTGGCGTTAGTGGGCAGTGTTCTCTGAGCTGATCGAAACATACCCTGATGTAAGTTGTAGTTCCGGGTTATATTAAGGTTAAGTTATAGTGCTTTATTTACGTGTTGTAGTCGGTGTTAAGTGAAGGTATCTAGTTAAGGTAGAGTCTCAGTGTTAAGTGAAGGTATCTAGTTAAGGTAGAGTCTCAGTGTTAAGTGAAGGTATCTAGTTAAGGTAGAGTCTCAGTGTTAAGTGAAGGTATCTAGTTAAGGAAGAGTCTCAGTGTTAAGTGAGGGTATCTAGTTAAGGTAGAGTCTCAGTGTTAAGTGATGGTATCTAGTTAAGGTAGAGTCTCAGTGTTAAGTGAGGGTATCTAGTTAAGGTAGAGTCTCAGTGTTAAGTGAAGGTGTCCAGTTATGGTAGAGTCTCAGTGTTAAGTGAAGGTATCTAGTTAAGGTAGAGTCTCAGTGTTAAGTGAAGGTATCTAGTTAAGGTAGAGTCTCAGTGTTAAGTGAAGGTATCTAGTTAAGGTAGAGTCTCAGTGTTAAGTGAAGGTATCTAGTTAAGGTAGGGTCTCAGTGTTAAGTGAGGGTATCTAGTTAAGGTAGAGTCTCAGTGTTAAGTGAAGGTATCTAGTTAAGGTAGAGTCTCAGTGTTAAGTGAAGGTATCTAGTTAAGGTAGAGTCTCAGTGTTAAGTGAAGGTATCTAGTTAAGGTAGAGTCTCAGTGTTAAGTGAAGGTATCTAGTTAAGGTAGAGTCTCAGTGTTAAGTGAAGGTATCTAGTTAAGGTAGAGTCTCAGTGTTAAGTGAAGGTATCTAGTTAAGGTAGAGTCTCAGTGTTAAGTGAAGGTATCTAGTTAAGGTAGAGTCTCAGTGTTAAGTGAAGGTATCTAGTTAAGGTAGAGTCTCAGTGTTAAGTGAAGGTATCTAGTTAAGGTAGAGTCTCAGTGTTAAGTGAAGGTATCTAGTTAAGGTAGAGTCTCAGTGTTAAGTGAAGGTATCTAGTTAAGGTAGAGTCTCAGTGTTAAGTGAAGGTATCTAGTTAAGGTAGAGTCTCAGTGTTAAGTGAAGGTATCTAGTTAAGGTAGAGTCTCAGTGTTAAGTGAAGGTATCTAGTTAAGGTAGAGTCTCAGTGTTAAGTGAATGTATCTAGTTAAGGTAGAGTCTCAGTTTTAAGTGAAGGTATCTAGTTAAGGTAGAGTCTCAGTGTTAAGTGAAGTTATCTAGTTAAGGTAGAGTCTCAGTATTAAGTGAAGGTATCTAGTTAAGGTAGAGTCTCAGTGTTAAGTGAAGGTATCTAGTTAAGGTAGAGTCTCAGTGTTAAGGTAGAGTCTCAGTGTTAAGGTAGAGTCTCAGTGCTAAGTGATAGTATCTAGTTAAGGTCGCGTCTCAGTGCTAAGTGAAGGTATCTAGTTAAGGTAGAGTCTCAGTGTTAAGTGAAGGTATCTAGTAAAGGTAGAGTCTCAGTGTTAAGGGAAGGTATCTAGTTAAGGTAGAGTCTCAGTGTTAAGGTAGAGTCTCAGTGTTAAGTGAAAGTGTCTAGTTAAGGTAGAGTCTCAGTGTTAAGTGAAGGTATCTAGTTAAGGTAGAGTCTCAGTGTTAAGGTAGAGTCTCAGTGTTAAGTGAAGGTATCTAGTTAAGGTAGAGTCTCAGTGTTAAGTGAAGGTATCTAGTTAAGGTAGAGTCTCAGTGTTAAGTGAAGGTATCTAGTTAAGGTAGAGTCTCAGTGTTAAGTGAAAGGTATCTAGTTAAGGTAGAGTCTCAGTGTTAAAAGTTCCCAAATTAAAGTACCAATATTATTAACACGTACATCAACAGGTTCCCGCCAAGTACACGTACAACTATGGGGTGATTCACGACCCAACACTCACGGACTTCAGTCACGAGGAAGCAAGAGACGGCCCTAAGACGACAGGTGGTTATCGAGTCGTCCTGCCAGATGGTCGTACTCAGGTGGTCTCATACACGGCGGATGCAGATGGCTACGTGGCCCAGGTGTCTTACGAAGGTCAAATCCACGCCCACGCCCACACCCACACCCACAGCCCACCACCACCACCACCTCCACCAGTTCTTCACCACCCAGAACCTTACCATGTTGAACCTTACCATGTTGAACCTTACCATGCTGAACCTTACCATGCTGACCCATATCATGCTGACCCATATCATGCTGACCCATTCTATCATCACTCTGGACCATATCACAACCCCCACGCCCACGCCCACCCACTGCCTTACACCCATAATTCTCTACCCATTGAATCTTACCTATAATCTCTCCCTTATTTAGCCTTCCTATTCCATTCTCACCCTGATTCTCACCCTGATGGCTCCCTAAACACCCTTCCTTATTCTCCCTCACCCTGAGACTAACACAACACTATTAATTACCATATGTAAAATAATGTGTAGTAGCTTTTAACATTAATTAATACGTCATTATAATCTGCCATGTAGTGACGTAACTTCCTTAGCAACCAGTAGCCAATCAGCGTCTGAGAAAGTTTTGGTTGCTAAGGACGTCAAAAATGGGTAGCAACCAACAACCAATCAGCGTCTGGGAAATTGCTATGGTGGAGATTATTTCCTGCTTTAAAGAATAAATATACGAATGGTTATAAATTGTTTATATAATACCAATACCTTATGAGTTAGAGTAATGTATATAGTTTTGCGATATACTTCCTTTATACATACTCATACATATCTATACAAACTCATCAATATACATCTACAGTCAGCTAGGGGCGTGCAAACATATGAACACAATAATGGAGGAAACTGCAGCGGGTCTATTGGTCTATATTGGACAGTCCCGTTTACACCCAACCCCTATCGCTCATATATCCATCCACCCTACTGATGTTTGAAGCAATTCAGCGTATTAGAGTTAATGATGATGTTTGGTAACTTGTTCCACTCATCCACTACTCTGTTTCCAAACCAATGTTTACCTATTTCACGCCTAAATCTAAATTTGTCTAATTTAAAACCATTGTTACGAGTTCGCTCCTGGTTGGATAGTTTGAGTACCTTTGTAATGTCCCCTTTGTTTAGCCCTGACTTCCATTTATACACCTCTATCATGTCGCCCCTCACTCTACGTCTAACCTGACCTGACCTGACCTCCGATCGCATTTAGAGAAAAGTAAATTAATCTACGACTCTCAACATGGGTTTACAAAGGGCAAATCTTGTCTAACAAATCTGCTGACGTTTTTTAGGAAAGTCTTCGAGGTAGTAGATAATGACGAAAATTACGATGTTATTTACTTAGACTTTAGCAAAGCATTTGACAGAGTACCGCATCAGAGGCTTCTGAGAAAAGTTAAGGCTCATGGTATCGAGGGGAAAGTTTTAAATTGGATAAAATCATGGCTCACCGATAGAACGCAGAGGGTCAGCGTAGATGGTGTTAAATATGAGTGGGGCCGTGTAACCAGTGGGGTTCCCCAGGGGTCAGTACTAGGCCCACTCTTGTTCATAATCTACATAAACGATCTAGATACTGGGATCAGCAGTAACATAAGCAAGTTTGCGGATGACACCTAAATAGGGCGGCAGATTAATTCAGGGCAGGATGCAAATGCATTACAGGAGGATTTAAATAAACTGCAAGAGTGGTCAGAAAAATGGCAAATGATATTCAACACCAGCAAGTGCAGCGTACTGAATATTGGAAGAACAAATACTGTCAATGTATACAGCCTGAACAACATCAACCTAGAGAAGTCGACTTGTGAAAGAGACCTAGGGGTACTTGTAAGCCCGGACCTACGGCCTAGAAAACAGTGCGTTAATGTTCGAAATAAGGCAAACAGAGTATTGGGTTTTATATCTAGAAGTGTAAGTAACAAGAGTGCAGAGGTCTTATTGCAACTATATCTTGCGCTAGTCAGGCCGCTCCTCGATTATGCGGTTCAGTTCTGGTGCCCCTATTATAGAATGGATATAAATTCACTGGAGTCGGTGCAGCGAAGAATGACGAAAATGATTCCGGGACTTAGAAACCTTCCATATCAGGATAGGTTAAAGAAACTTAACTTACATTCCCTAGAAAGACGAAGAGTGCGGGGAGACATGATAGAAGTATATAAGTGGGTGAAAGGAATCAATAAAGGAGATATAGATAAAGTTCTTATAATATCCAAGCAGGATAGGACTCGGAGCAACGGATTCAAGTTGGATAAGTTTAGGTTTAGGAGGGATATAGGAAGGAACTGGTTCACAAATAGGGTGGTGGACGAGTGGAACAAGCTTACCAACTTTGTAGTAAGTGCTGAAATGCTGGACAGTTTTACAAGGAGGCTAGATAGATTCATGGATGATAGAGAGTGGTAGTAACTCTCGACAGGAGCTGCCATGCACAGACCAACCGGCCTATTGCAGACTCCTTAGTTTCTTATGTTCTTATGACCAAACCTAACCTGACCTGACCTGACCCAACCTAACAACAGAATAGATAAACAGACAGACAGATCCCAGGTTAACGAGTGATTGTTATATACCTCATTATGCCTGAACTCGCTGCAGGTGAGGTAGAATGTATCGTAGACTACATGACGAAACGATGGCGGGGCAATTATGTAGTTGGGGTGATTGTTAGGGGGAGGGGGAGAAGGAAGAATGGAAGGGAGGAGGAGATGGGAAGGGAGGAAGTGAAGAAGGAATAGGAAAGAGGAGGAGGAAGAGGGAAGAGAAGGGAAAGGGGGAAGAAGAGAAGGAGAGAGAAGAGGAAGAGAAGGAGAGAGAAGAGGAAGATGAGGAAGAGGAAGAGGAGACACTGTCGACATCAACAATTACCTACACAATACAATCTGATGGACACACAAACACATTATCTCTCTCTTTCTCTCCCTCTCTCTCTTTCTCTCCCTCTCTCTCTCGTCTATAAAGAGACTGTGCAGTTCTCTCAGCTTGACAGTCTCACTCAAACACACACACGGCTTGGATGTCTCTCAGGGTGTGTATGTGTGTGTGTATTTATGTATGTGTGCATGTCTATGTGTGTATATCTACCAGTGTGTATATATGTATGTTTATGTGTGTGTGTATATACCCTCTGTGAACCGTATACACACACACACACACATACACACACACACACACACAGTACATTCTATCTCTGTTTACAGGTGGTAGTGTGGTGTGTGGTCGTGATGGTGGGGTCGTACTCAGCTTCCCAGAAATATGACGACCATCCAGGGGTAAGTTACAAGGTCGTGGGGAGGGGGGTGGAGGGGGTGGGTGGGGGTAAAAATATATATGAATAAATTAATGAAATAAACCTACGACTTCCCATCATCTCCCCATCTCACCCAACCTTACCTCACCCCCCCCACCACCTAACTACCTCTCTCCCTCCCCCCCTACAGGTACCCGCCAGGTATAATTACAGGTACGGCGTCCAACATAACCCTACAGCTGTTGACTTCAGCCATCAGGAAACACGGGAAGCCACTCAGACGTTAGGGGAATACCACGTCATGTTACCTGATGGGCGGGTCCAGGTGGTCAGGTACACTGCCAATCAGGATGGCTACGAGGCTCAGGTGTCCTACAAGAGGGATGGCTTAGTTCTGATTGATAATGTACCTGCTGTTTATAAGCCGGGTCCTGTGTCCAGTAATCCGGGTTATGTGTCCAGTAAACCGGGTTCTGTTCCTTCTAAGCCAGGTCCTGTCCCTCCAAAGCCGGGTCCTGTCCCTCCAAAGCCGGGTCCTACCCCTCCAAAGCCGGGTCCGACCCCTCCAAAGCCACCACTTGCCTCTCCCCCTGCCCCAATACCCACCTTCCCACCTGCCCCTCCCAAGCCAATTCCTGCCCCTCCAAAGCCAGACACTGCCCCTAAAAAGCCAGCACCCGCACCCGCCCCATTACCCACCTATCCACCCGCCCCAGTCTATCCTTCTGGTCCCACCAAGCCAGTCCCAACCCATCCCAAGCCAGTCCCAACCCATCCCAAGCCAGTCCCAACCCATCCCAAGCCAGTCCCAGCCCATCCCAAGCCACGGAAGTCCCAATTTAAGAGGCCCTACCCACGACCTCCCCCTCCCCCCATTTTTTCCCCAATTCGACCCCACTCCTATTTTGGGGTGTATTTCCCAGCAGACCCCAGTTCCTATAGACCTAGTCCCTATAGACCCTAGTAATCAGTCCCAAATTCTTCCTATATCCTGTTCTATCCTCTTCTATATGACCCGTTCTTATATATCCTGCCATATCGCGAACCTAACCAAAACCTAACCTAAATCTAACGTAACCTAACCAAAGTCTAACCAAAGTCTAACGTAACTTACAAGGTCTATTTTAAACAGATCTTAATATTGAAGACGGAGAAAATATTGAAAATAACTTAGGCCTATGTGTGGAATGTGGGTTAACTAGGCCTATTTCAGACAGATCTTAATGTGGAAGACTAAGAAATAATTAATAAAAATGTTTAGGCCTATTGGAAATGTGATGGATATTTAACTAGGCCTATTTTTTTGTGTCTGAATAAATGTTATGATTGTTATCGGTGTTTTAAATCCCTGTATTGGTGAAGGGTCTGTTTGTCTGTTTTGTTAGGACACACACACACACACACACACACACACACACATACACACACACACACACACACACACACACACACATACACACACACAAGAAAAACAAAATAAAAAATTAAATCAGGTAAAAAAAATAAAAAAAAATAAAAAATAAATAAAATGAAAATAAAAAACAAAAAATATTAAATAAAATAAATAAATAAAAACTAAAAAAATTACAATAAATCACCACAAAACCAGACGAAAAAAACCACCTTAAGGTAAGCCGAGAGAGAGTGAGTGTTTTGTAGTGAAGATAATGACAGTTTGGAGCCTAAT